GGCCCATTCATTGCAGCAGAGCTGTGCAGTGCAGATGTATGTGAGAGTCCACAGGCCTGGCAGTTGAGGGTTTAAAACCTTTTTTTTAAAAAAAAAAAACCAATACAAGTTTGAATATAATAGTTAATTAAAAATTAATTTGATTTTAAAAATAAAATTTCAATTCATCTTGTTTCTTATATTTATTTATTTTTTTTCCTCAAAGTATCCTCTTTAGTGATTGCACGTGTTAAAAAGTTTCCATTCTAATACATGTTATTAGCAAGGGTATCTTAACAAATATAACATTTATTTATTACAAATAAGTAGCTTAACTAGTTTTTTTTTAATATTTCATAATTAGTTATATATCTCTTATATTAAGAACCATAAGTGTATGAATTTTGAAAGAATAATTCAAACAAGTTTCTTTTAAAAAAAAATTGTCTTCTCAGATCTGATTCTCAAATGCAAATCCTAATCCTACCATAAAGCTACAATTTAAGGCACAGGCAGAAGTCATGCAGTACAGGTTTCTTCCACGTCAGCACCGTTTCAATGTCAGAAGCCCTAGCTGATGAAATTAATGTTTCGATATTGAAATTGCTGTTTCTGTGTGTGTGTGTGTGGATAAGAGAAGGATTGTGCGACCAAGTGACACCTATACAAAACACAAATGGAACTCATATCATGCAAAGGTTTCTTCCTCAGTAGTAACTGTCTTGGGTGATGTTAAAACTATGGCACAATTAATACCCACACACTATCCAAGTACTTACATAACTGATGATGTTATGTATATTTTAAGAATCAATAGCTATATATGTTTCTGAGGTCTTGGCCTTCAAGTGCTCCATGAAAGTTGAGATTGAAGGAAATGTTGTTATTATAGCCAAGTACGAGAGGGGATCAAATAACATAGATTTCATGCATTATGTTACGAGGTCATATTAAAATACCATCCACTTCGTTTGATGCTTCAGTGAAATATATATATATATATATATATATATATATATATGGCCCTTAAGAACACACAAATTAACATATGATGAACACATGCTGTAGCTTTTATAATTCTATATGCTTTTGGTTCCAATTATGTAATGTGGCCTGATTAGTCTTCAAGTATGGCGTATCAGACTTGAGGCTCTAGAACAAGGAGCCTTGCTTTTTTTTTTTTTTTAACTGGTTGGTGAGAAAACTGAGAAATGGCAAGTAGGGTTATAGAATTATTATATTGATGCTTAGCTTTTATTACATATAATACTTACATTACATGACACACAAAAATCTCATACAGATTGTTTTATTCAACACACAGCAAACAAGAACATATATATGGGGTGACAAAAAGTTCAAGAGTGATGCCCAAATCTAGAGGCTAGTAGCCTAGCTTGCTCCGTGATGAGCAGCCTTAGCTTAAAGCTTTTTGTTTCTTGGAACCCAAGAGATAGTTCCAGAGCACAAAAAATGGCAAACTGGTACTGTTCCTGGCAGGATCTTGAGTTAATGCAACAACTTATGGGGATCCAAACCTGTTGTATCGTGGTGGCAAAGAGCCGCTATGCTGGTTCTAGTGCCATCACTAGCTTCCATGGGAACTATACAAGTGACTGTTTTATTCACTTGATGACAGTAAAACACACGTTTCTCAAAATTCAACTTGTGACATATTATTCCTATACTTGAAACCCTCTGTATTGAGTTTGATAAGGCACAAAAGAGCTTGTGAGTGCTTCAATGTCCTTCCCCAACTTTGAAATGACGAATTCAAGTAACGATTCCACAGATTTTGCACAAAACTTGTCATCTTCTCCCACAGACCTTTCCTTAGCATTGAATATTGATTCCAAATTAAAGTTAAATTCTCAAGCTCATTATTATTTATCATTGTGTTTCTTTTCCATCCCAAAACTCCATAAGGTTGGTTATTAGAGCTTGACTTCTCTGCATCTTTCTCCATAGGAATATTACTTTTCTGCCTCTTAGATGCGTAAGGGGAGTTGAATATTATGTTCATTTGTTTGCCAGCATGGAGGTCTTCCTCAAAGAAGCTGGTATAGGGATATTGAGTTTCTTTATTTTCCACATGGTTCACACCTTTATTTGACGCATGCCCAAATGAATTTTTGTTAATTACAGATATCGTAGAACCATAAGAAAAAATATGCGTATTGTAAATGGTCAGAGAAGATGTGGAATCATCGACATGATACATATGTTTTGACACTAACGTATGAACATATGTAAATTCTTTCCACGGAGAAACAAAATAATCAGAGGTTTCATTTAGTAAATCTTTTCATGATATTATTAATGCATGAATTTTATTAATTTAGTCATGATTTATTTACATGAATATAAAATATAAAGTAGGCTTATTTTGTATATGTCTTAATACACCTTGACTATTTTAGTTAAAGATAGAAGAAAGGATTATCTTATGACATGAATATGAATCCTTTTAGAATCCTTTTCTTTTCCTCTAAGAATCCAATCTCCATCCTTTAATGAAAAAAAAATAGATGATGCAAATAATATTAGGTTAATATCATTGTTAGTCCTTACAGTCTAATTTAATTTTGGTTTTGGTTCTTGTAGTTTCAAATAATTGGTTTTGACGTCTATAATTTCATAAGGATTTGATTTCAGTTCTAGTACAGAGACTAAAAACAAAATTCATTAAGAGCATAAGGATCATTGGTTAAGGTCAAACAAGAAAACTATGAGATTATGGGGATCAAAACCAATTATTTGAGACTATGGAGACCAAACAGAAATTCAATCAAACTATAAGGATTAACAATAGTATTAACCTAGTAATATTTTCCAAAACTATTCTTATAATTGCACGAGACTTGCACAATAAGCAAATTAATTGGGAGATATAACTGAACAAATTGAACGGCAAATAAATAAATGGTGAGGATTAATCAAAGCATGCCATGGATTTGAAGTCTATATTTTCCATATATTGTTTAGTTTTCACGTATCCAGTTTTGTTTTAAATTTAAATTTTTATAAAAGTTTCTGGTCAAACTATTATTTTTAAGTTGATAATGTCCCAAAGTTAATAATTAAAATTAAGTACGATATAGAAGTCGATCATAAAGGTTGTTTTAGTTGGTCAAACTGGAATTTTCAAATTTTGGGATATAAGATTGGAGCGAGTATAATTGTAAGAAAATCAAAATATAATTATAAACTGAATACCATAAACTTTCAAAAACATGGAAGAAAATTAAGTAAACTTACACAGAACAATAATGCTCAAACAGCAAGACGTGGGAGCTCCATTATTCCAGTATGCGAAGAGGAGAAAGATTAGCAGTGAAGAAGTCGCACTGAGAATCATTAACCATAGTACCGTGGGATTAATTATGATGGGTCATTGATTCGAGTAATTAAAGGCGAAAGGGGACAACATATAAAGCTTCGATGAATGTACCCATATTACGAGAAGATGTAACATGGACACACAGGTGGAACTCATGCAAGGCTTTTTCCTCATCAGCACCGTTTCACTGTAAGAAACCCTAGCCTATGAAATTAATGTTTCAATGTTGACATTTATGACGCCCATGCATGATGCCGATTAAGAGGACGACACACAAATGGAAATCATGCAAAGGTTTAATTTCTTCCTCAGTACGTATCTGAGTGATGTTAAAACTCTTGCACAATTAATGGCTACACACCATCCAAAGTACCTAACTGATGTTATACTATATTCGTTTCATAATATAAGAGCTAGTTGGAGATTGAATTTGATCATAAATATAAGACTCTGATTCACTTTGTTTCTAACATTTATCCATTTTACCCCCAAATAATCCCTATGGTGATTACATATGTTAAGGAGTTTTTATTAAATGGTAGTTCTAATACACATTATTAATATAAGTATTTAGGAAAGACGACATCTGTAATTTTCACAAATTAATTATCTAGCTCTTATATTAAGAACCATAGATCGTATTTTTCTGTAGTCTTGGCCTTCAAGTGCTCTTTGATTGTACGTTGAGGTCCAAGGAAATGTTGTATTGCTGAATCTTTACAAGTACTTTGTCAGTAACAAGTGTTCTTTTAGCTATAAGACATGTTTTGACCTTAAGGAAACCTTAATGTACCTATTCTCCAGGGACAAAGCCACGTTGGCAAAAACACGTAATCTAATGAGAAACAGTTACATGTGATGAAACGAACACATATCTCTGTTATTTATATTTTCTGCAGCACCAAGTTACGACGTAGAATCCACGCAAAGGTTCTTCATGTTTGAGGCTTGAATGTGAAAATTGTCTGGGTCTCTGTTTCTGAAACAGATTAGTACAGGAACTCATCTTTATATGCTTTAGCTTCATCAACTTTCGAAATCAGTACGTTAAAATTCTAGACGGTCCACATTACTTATCAAGTGATGAGCGCTGGGTTCTTATCACTAGATGAGCACCAAAACCGGGTCATACCACTTCCCTTGATGCTCAAATGAAATATATGGCTGCTAAACAAGCACACACATATGAACCACATTTTGTGATTTTATATATATAGGACTCTTGGAAATCTCAAAATGTGACCTTTTATATATATATAGACTTCGCTGTTGTGAGATGTTTCTAATTAAAATTTTTAAGCTCTATCCTTTTTGGGTTCTAGTTATGTAACGTGGCCTTGATCTTCAAGTACTGTTTCATAATCGGGGCCTCAAGGTAAGGAGTTTTGCTGATTATTGGTTAGTCAGAAAACTGAGAAATGACAAGCATGGTTATAGAATTAATGCTTTTATTATATATAAGACATACATTTATTACGGAACATGCCAACATCTCATATATAGTTTTATCTAAGCACATAACACACTAGTTTTATCTAAGCACGTAACACACTAGTTTTATCTAAGCACATAACACACTTGTACACACATATATAGGGTTACCGGTTACGAAGTGTTAAAGAGCGTGATGCTTTTATTTAAAAGTCGTAACCCACCAAAGCTAGAGACTAGCCTAGCTTGCTTAGCGAGAAGCCTTAAGCTCATTATTTCTTGGAACCCAAGAGATAGCCCCGGATCCCAAGAAATGGCAAACTGGCACTGTTCCTGGTAGGACTTTGAGTTGATGGAACAAATTATGGGGATCCATGCCTCTCGTATCACGATGGCAAAGAGCCACTATATTTGTTCTCGTGCCATCAGCAGCTTTCATGGGAACTATGTACGTGATTGTTGCATTCACTTGATGACAGTAAAACACGGGCTTCTTGAAATTCAACTTGTGACACATCACACCTTCACTTGAAACCTTCTGAACACCCTCCAATATTGTGTACTGAGTTTGATGAGGCACAAAGGAGCTTGTGAGTGCTTCAATGTCCTTCCCCAACTTTGAAATGACATAATCAAGTAATGATTCCACAGACTCTGCACAAAACTTGCCATCTTCTCCAACAAACCTTTCCTTAACATTGCATATTTCTTTCAATCTTAAACTCTTAGGCTCATTATTTACCATTGCGTTTCTTTTCCATGTACCAACTCCATAAGGTTGATTCAAGCTTGACCTATCAACATCCACCGGGTTTCTTTTCCATGTGTAAACTCCATAAGGTTGATTCAAGCTTGACCTATCAACATCCACTGCGCTTCTTTTCCAAGTATAAACTCCATAAGGTTGATTCAAGCTTGACCTATCAACATCCACTGCGCTTCTTTTCCAAGTATAAACTCCATAAGGTTGATTCAAGCTTGACTGGTCAACATCCATTGGGTTTCTTTTCCACGTATAACTCCATAAGGTTGATTCAAGCTTGACTTGTCAACATCCACTGGGTTTCTTTTCCACGTATAAACTCCATAAGGTTGATTCAAGCTTGACTGATCGACATCCGCCGCACTTCTTTTCCATGTACCAACTCCATAAGGTTGATTCAAGCTTGACTCATCAACATCCACCATGCTTCTTTTCCATGTACCAACTCCATAAGGTTGATTCAAGCTTGACTTGTCAGCATCCCTTACGTGTCTTTTCCATGTACCAACCCCATAAGGTTGATTCAAGCTTGACTTTTCTGATAAAGCATTCCAAGATTGAGAAGATAAGGACTTCTCTGGATCTTTCTCCACAATATCAATTTTCTGCTCCTCATTAGCATAAGGACTCTTGAATATTATGTTCATTTGTTTGCCAGCATGAAGGTCTTCTTCAAAGAAGCTGGTATAGGGATATTGAGTATCATCTTTCTCTGCATCGTTCACGCCTTTGACGCATTCCCAAATGAATATTTGTTAATTAAAGATATCATAGAACCATAATAAAACATGCATGTATTATAAATGGTGAAAAAACCTTTGGAATATCAACATCGTGTTTTGAAATTAACTATGTATATTCATCAATATTGTAAGTAGTAAGGGTAGGGTAGGTTAGATGAGTGGAGATATAGGATTTAAATCCTTTTCACTTAAGGAAAAAAAATCTTTTTATTGAAGAACACAAAATAATCACATAGGTTCATTTAATTAATTTGTTCACGGTATTACTAACACATGAATATTTCATATACATATGCCTATATCCAAAATTATGTAAGATGCAAAGAAATTGTGGAGGTGATCGATGTTTCATTCCCATTTTTGTTTTGGGGGAAAAATTAAAGTTCATATAAACCCCCCCCCCAAAAAAAAACATTTCTTCATTCTTTTCCTTATATAATGTTGATTTTAATCCGTTAAAAACATGGAATTGGAATAAAGATGTGAGAATTTTAAGTACTAACCAGACCACAACAGATACTCCAAATTCTTAGGCATAGAAGTGTCTGGCCAGATTGAATGCCAGTATTCTTCAGCCGAATGTGACGACGTCATATCACTCCCCGCAAGAGCCAGCTGCAGATATATCCAAAGCAAATCATCATGCAGAACAAACCGCAATTTAACTTTATGCAATGTCTGAGATTGTTATGACATGTAACTAAAAATAAGAAGCTAATAATATCAGCCCAATCATTATTAACTTCTGCCTCCTGATGAATAAAAGAAGCTTACACATAGCAGAACAGAAAAAACAGCAAAACGAAGCAGCTCCATGACAGAGTGTGATGAAGTGAAGAAAAAGCAAGTGAGATGATGAATCATTGAACTAAAGGTGCTTCCTTTATATAGACAGACTAGGAAGACAATGCATAATAATTAATTCTACCAGCGACTGACACCCATGATGCTGACGAAGCGGACACGTAAGTTAGTGACTCTTATCCATGGTTTCTTCATTAATTATTATGAGCCACTTCACATGGGATGAAACGAACGAACACGTCTCTTGTAGTGTGTATATTTTACTTTAAGATCCAATTAACTAATTTAAAAAGATTAAAAAAATCTAGGTAAATTACTTAATTATAGCATACATATCATTAGATTATACTACCTCTGGTCTTTAATAAGAGAACTAGTAGAGGATTGAATATAGTCCTAAATACTCTAATCCATTTTGTCCCCCTTATTTATTCAAACTAAGCTTATTAATTGCATATGTCAAGGGAGTTTGCATCAAAGCGTAGTTTCAGTCCAAATGATTTAAGAGGGTATATTAAGAAAACCAACACATATTTTTGATAAATAACTAATTTAACCACGTACTTTTTTTAATCTATTCAAATTAGTAAAGTAGATATTAAATTAAGAACTGAAGGTAGTATATCAAAAGAACAATAAATATTGATACTCTAAAGTAATGATTTAACTTTCTTAATCTCTCCAAATTAGTCAACTGGAATTTATATTAAATACCGGAAGTAGTATTTGACATTCATGATAATGGTTAACAGAGACGATACGAGGTGGAATCCATGCAAGGCTTCTTCATGCATGCCACTGAATTTGATGCTTGAATGTGGAAATTGGCTGGGTCTCTGTCTCTGAAACTGGTGGAAGAGTACAGCATAGGAACTCGCGAAATTTTATGTTCTCTGTGTGCGTGCTTGCGTGCGTGCGTGTGTAGATATGATGAGAAGGATTGTGCTACCAAGTGACACCTACGAGACACAGATGGAACTCATGCAAGGTTTCTTCGATCAGTACTTGTCTGAGTGATGTTATAAATATCACACAAGGTGCCTACGCAATGCACTATATCCAACGTAACTGCTGATGATTTTAAGTTTATATTTAAGAATTATTAGTTAATTTTATGTTGGATTTTTAGAAAGGAAATAGATGCAAGTTCAGAAACTATAAAAACGATATTAGTGCATTAAATTAAACACAGTAAACACAGGCGATGACGATCGATGACCACTACGATGAGTTGGTTATGGTTATTACCTTGGTTTGTCAGCCAAGTGCGAGAGTTGGTGCTATTGTTTCACTTAAATGAGTGATTTACTGTTCACAGTTCTTGATTTGTTAGAAATTTTATACTACCTCTGGGTTTTTAATACAAGATATAATTGACTAATTTGAGTATATTAAAGAATTTAGTTAAGTTAGTTATTTATAATAAGTATATGTTGTCTTTCTTAAAATATTCTTATTAATTAAGTGTATGAGCTAGACATATTATTTAACGAAAAATTTAATATGTACAATTATTATAAGGAATACATTAGGAAAAAATTAGATAAATATGAGAAAAAAGTGGATTGAGGTCTTATATTTAAGACCAAATTAAAAATCAAACTAGTATTATATAGATATTGATGATAGCTCCCAAGATTTAGGACCCCACTTCATCTCATGTGTCCGCCACGTCTCCCCACTCTTCTGGCTTCGAAGACAAGCATTGTCAAGTATCCGCATACCATCCCTTGTTATCTGTAAAATAAAAGAGAGATATCTTTTTATTTTAATAACTAGATTTAGAGAAAAATATATAAAATATCTATAAATTCAATAGTTAATATATGTTGTGTATTGTATGAAATTTGAAATGAAGAATACATCATGTTTATTAGGCCTGAGCAATCGGTTATTCGGTTCGGTTAGTGTAGATAATCGAAATAACCGAATAACCGAACATAGCATAATCTTGACACCGAACCGAAACCGAACTATGTTTGGTAACCGAACCGAAATAACCGAAAATATTTCGGTTCGGTTAGGGGCCTAATTCGGTTATTGGGCCTTTTTAATAGTATGCCTATTATGGCCCAACCGAGCTGGGCCCATTAAGATCTTTTTTGTTTGTTTGGGTGAATCTCATTAAAAAATGGCTCTCCTTTATGTTTTTGTATAACCCATTAAAATATTTGTCTCTACCCATTATTGTCTTGGGCCACTAAAGAGGGAATTTGAAAAAAGAACTACATGTCCACACATTTGCTCTTATAATGAATTTGAAAAAAAGAACCACACATCTTTTTTCATTGCTCCTCCGTAGTTCGGTTTGAAAACCAACAAGATGTAAACTAATAACAAATACAAAAAGAACTACACGTCCATACCCAATTCCATCTCACATACGCCAAGTCCTTCACCAAATAAAATAAATAATAATTAACCTCTTTCAAATATTAATCCAAAAAAACATGCAAACTAATAACAAATACAAATCCAAACACAATTAAGATCCAAACAAACCAATCCAGTACCAAAAACATAATATGTAAAATTTAAAATTACAACAAATTCTAGCCAATCCTTGCGCCCAAATTCCTTGCATGTAACTTGCCACCAACACTAAGTCATCAACAACTACAATTAAACAAAAAAAAAATTAGAGTGCACAATTTTAGAGCTAAAAAAAAAAACAAGTTAAGCACAAGATTTGTTTACTCAAATATTTTTTTCTTGACATCTACAATATATCAACAGTTGCCTCTAATGCAATTTTTTGCAAATCTACACAAAAAAAAATCAGAATTCATATGATATATGATATAAATAAATCAAGCATTATAACATAATGTTATGAAGTAAAAGTAAAATATTACCAAGTTCTATCCTTTGAATATCATCATTCCCTTCTTCTACAATATATTGAATTGAGCGTCTAAGCCAATCTTGAGCACAAATTAAAGATTGCACAGCTTTAGGAGTTAAAGAACTCCTAAATGAATCTAGAACTCGTCCTCCAGTGCTAAATGTAGACTCTGATGCAACTGTGGAAATTGGGATAGCCAAAACATCTCTAGCCAATAGAGAAAGAATAGGAAATCTAGGACCATTTAGCTTCCACCAACCTAAAATATCAAAGTCTTCTTTATTAACCTCAATTTCTTCATTCAAATATCTATCAACCTCAGTTCTGCTAGTTCTTCCACCAAGACGCTCATTCATAAACTCTTGTTCCTCAATATCAAGCAATTTTCTCACTTTTACAGCAGGGTCATCCTCTTCATGACAATCCTCTTGTGTGGTATGCACTGGCTCCCTTTCAGATTGGGTTGAGGGGGAAAAAATGTGTTTGTATTCATTATATAAAGAAATCAAAAGTTCTTTAATATGTATCCCCAAACTTGTACCAATTGCACTTGTGTGCATTTTACACAAGGCAAATTGCACCCAATCTAATTTATATCGGCGATCAAGAATAGCAGCAATATAAAGAAGTTGGTTCATTTTCATAGGATTTCCCCAATACTTATCAAATTTCTCTTTCATTCTGTTTGCCATGGAAGCCAATTCCCAAACATCACATTTTGTCCATTCATCCAAAAAACGATATAGCTTATAAATTTCACGAAAAAAAGTATTAGATGTTACAAATAAAGAGCCAGAAATCTGCATAGTAAGCTCATAAAAATGACCCAACATCATGATCATCCTCCTAACATTCTTCCAATCTTCAGACTCAGGCACCCCCTCTCCATCTTCAAGATCAAATCGAAAATAAAGATCTTTATCCTCAAACCTTTTAAAGGCTGCTTCAAATTTTTGAGCAGTCTCTAACATCAAATAGGTAGAGTTCCACCTAGTTGGGACATCTAAGCATAAAATCTGTTTACTTTGAATCTTTTCATCCTCACAACTCTCTTTGAACTTTCTCATTCGAAGGGGTGATTGCCTAATAAAGCGGACAGCTTCTCTAACTTTTTTCACTGAACTTCCTATTTCCTTCAACCCATCAGTAACAATCAAATTAATTATGTGTGCAACACATCTCATACGTAAGAATTGACACTTCTTAATTGAATGACCCCAGTTCATAATTTTTCCTTCTAAATATTGAACCATGACATCATTAAAACTGGCATTGTCCACAGTAATTGTGAGCACCCTTTCAATTCCCCATTCAAGTAGACATTTTTCCATTTCTATTCCAATATCTTTTCCTTTATGACTAGAAATTGGAATGAAATTCAAAATCCTCTTTCTCAATGTCCATGCATCATCTATGAAATGAACAGTAATGCACATGTAATTAATTCTTTGAATGGAAGTCCAAGTGTCAGTGGTGAGGCAGACCCTTTACCTTTTATGCAACAAATAGTCTTTAAATTAAATTTTTCCTCAATATAAATCCCAAAACAGTCACGAGCAACCGTCCATCTTGATGGAATTTTAAATTTTGGTTGAGCAATAGACATAAATTGCCTAAACCCACTTCCATCAACAAACTTGAAAGGTAATTCATCAGTAATTATCATGCATGACAAAGCTTTTCTAATAGCATCTTGATCAAATTTCCAATTTGCAAGACCTATTTTGTCATCTTCTACATTAAAATTCAAAAGAGATTGTGCAAGTTCTTCGGGAGGGGGCTTCAATTTACAAGAATTCATATGATTGTTCAATGCAGTGGTTCCATTGGATTTTGGATCACATGCAAGATCATTTCCACAATAATTACACTTACCTCTAATTTCACCTCTTTCATTCACAAATTTGGTGAAATGCTCCCAAACTTTTGATCTTGGCTTCATATTTTTTCTTTTTGCAGTTCCACTTGTTACAGGCATTGAAGGCTTTGTTGTTTGAGTAGCACCATCATCTCCAGCTTGAGCATCACCCATTGTTTCACCATGAGAAGACATCTAATTAAATAAATAAATTAGTTACAACAGAATGACAGATTATATAAGAAAGAGGATAATTTATAATGAATAGATAACTCCTATCTATAATCAATCTCCCTTCCTTTTAATTTACATTTTGTAACTGGATAGGAATTTCGGTTTTAGACATATGTGCAGTACAGGAGATCATGAATTCATGATATCGAACAAACAAAAATGAAACTAGTATCATTTCTCGGTTCTTCCCGTCTTCACTCTTCAGTAGATAGAAATATTTCTACTTAAAAAAAAAAAACAAACTAACTCGGCTCGGTGACTTCCATCCCATATGCAGAAAAAACCAAATCCAAATAAGCAGCCAACCTAGATGAATCTAGTCTCTCAGTGACTTCCATCCCATATGTTGGTAAGGCAGATACATACAGAGGCCATTGTAATCCCTATATGTTCTAATCAAATCAACGGTGGCAGCTAAAGAACAGTGGAGACTGGAGAGTGAATATTCCACAAAAAATATGAGTAATCACCGACTCACCTCTCACAAAACAGATAGACGCCGGACGGCCGGAGTAGCAGAGGCTTCACAGAATCACAGGGGTGGCAGAGAACCAGAGACGAAGCAGGGGCGATGTCGGATTACCTTCAAGTCTGAAGCCACAAACCGGACACGAGGCAATGACGGCAGGCGACGACAGACGGACGACGGTTGAGCTCGCTCTTGGAGAAGGCGAGACGCGAGCAGCGCAATGTGCGATCTAGGGCAAGCCTTCGTGACTGAGAGTGAGCGTTGAGTTGAGAGTGAGAGAGAGCCGAGAGCCCGAGAGCGTGAGCGTCTGTGAAGTCAGCTATGTGTTGCATTTTGGTGCGGGAGTGAGGGAGGGAGTGACCGAAATGTTTTTGTAAAATGGGAGGGAAATTAAAAATAGAAAAAGAAAGATAAAAATTTAAAAAAAAGGTTTAATTCGGTTATTCAGTTATAACCGAAATTTTTTTATGCACATCGAACCGAACCCCGAAAACCGAAATAACCGAACAAAATAACCGAAAAAAATAAAACCGAATTAACCGAACCGAAAAACCGAATTAATTTCGGTTCGGTTCGGTTCGGTTTTGCTCACCCCTAATGTTTATACTTATAAATAGTTAATCACATATAATTAGTATATTAATAAAAATGTTGTTATAGCTATATTATTCTTGAATGGAATGTGTTTGTTTACTCCTTGGTCTTCAAGTACCCTGTGGGACTTGAGGCACCAGAACATACATTATTCACATTTTTCATTTATCATATAAATACTGAAAATAGAAATGTTGTGCCTGTATGGTCTAATCTGGGTATTTTGCTTATTACAATATTTGGTCAATTTTTCAGCAATGTGAGAGTTATATAATACTACTCCTTCGGTTTTAAATATAAGACCTATTTTGTAGTGTAAATTATTGTTTTGAATGAAGTTATTTTAATCGATATGATAAGTCACATATATTGCACATAATTGCAAGTTTCCTTTTTCTTCTGTCATTTGGAATATTACTTGAAAATTAAAATATGCCGCTAAATTAAGTACCATGATTTTTAAATTAATCCTCTCGATTAAAATTTCTGACATCAAAAGTTAATTATTAAAGTTCGATAGGAGATGAACACTACCAAATTAACATGGACGGCTGTACCTGACAGCAGACTCCATGAGATGAAGAGACAAGATATAGAACACATGCATATATATTACATATAACACGTAGCATTATGGTTTCATTCCTCTCAACATTAGAACACATAGTGTTGAGAGAGTGCTGCATTTATTTAAAACTCATAACCCAAAGAGGGACTAGCCTTCATTAGTAGGCATCCTTATTGGATTTTCCCCACAACCAATGCCCTAATATTATATTGAGGAGAGTTTGACTTCTCTAAGTGTATATCCACTGCATTCCTTTGCCATAAACTGAAACCTTAAGGTTAAGGAGATGCTGTTGACTTCTCTATGTCTTCGTTCATTGCATTTCTTTTCCATATACCAACACCCTTGGGCTGAGGAGATACCGATGACTTCTTAGAATCTTCATTCATTGAGTTTCTTTTCCATATGCCAACACCCCAGGATTGAGGAGATACGGATGACTTCTCTGAATCTTCATTCATTGAGTTTCTTTTCCACATACCAACACCCCAGGGTTGAGGAGATACTGATGACTTCTCGGAATCTTCATTCATTGAGTTTATTTTCCACATACCAACACCCCAGGGTTGAGGAGATATTGATGACTTCTCCGAATCTTCATTCATTGAGTTTCTTTTCCATGTACCAACACCCCAGGACTGAGGAGATACCGATGACTTCTCTGAATCTTCATCCATTGCGTTTTTTTTCCATATACCAACACCCCAGGGTTGAGGAGATACCAACGACTTCTCTGAATCTTCATTCATTGTGTTTCTTTTCCATATGCCAACACCCCAAGGTTGAGTAGATACCAATGACTTCTCTGAATCTTCATTCATTGCGTTTCTCTTCCATATGCCAACACCCCAAGGTTGAGGAGATACGAATGACTTTTCTGAATCTTCATTCATTGCGTTTCTTTTCCATATGCCAACACCCCAAGGTTGAAGAGATACTGATGATGACTTCTTGGAATCTTCATTCATTGCGTTTCTTTTCCATATGCCAACACCCCAAGGTTGAGAAGATGGCGGCTTCTTCGCATCTTTCTCCATAGCAATACTTTTCAGCTCTTCTTTAGCGTAAGGGCTGTTGAATATTATGTTCATTTCTTTGCCATCATGAAGGTCGTCTTCAAAGAAGCTGGTATAGGGATATTGAGTTTCTCTGTTCTCTGCATCGTTCACACCTTTGAGGCATTCCGAAATGAATATTTGTTAATTATAGATATCACAGAACCATAAGGAAACACATATGCATGCATTATAAATATCGTGGGATAGATATGGAATCATCGACATCATGTTTTGAATTAACGCATGCATATTCATTAAAAAAAATTATTATTTTTTCATTGAAAAACAATGATTACGGAGGTCTCTTTAATTATTTTTTTTTCGTGGTATTATTAATACATTAGTATTTCGTATGTACATGAATCTGAAACAACTAGCAAGCAAGAACTTGTGGATATGTATCATTCCCAATTATGTTTCCAGTAGGAAAAACTAGTTTTGATATGTTTAAAAACTAAAGAATTAGAATACTGGTCTGATAATATTAAATACTGACCAGATCCCAAAAGATACTCTAAATTCTTTGGCATAGGAGTGTGCGGCCAAATCGAATGCCAGTATTCTTCAGCCGAACGAGACGACGTCGCATCACTCGCAATAAGAGTAACCTGGAAATACAAATACCCTAGTCGTCATTTAACATTACATCTTAAGAGTTTTGTGATATAATTAAACATTAATAATGTGATAAAATGGAGCATTATGTTGCCTCATGAAGCACACAATAACTGTTGAAAATATTTGGATGAAAATATTATTGAAAGATGGAAGGAGCAAAGCTTACAAATAACACAGCTAATACAGAAAAACGAAGAAACTCCATTGCGGACTGCGATACTGAAGTGAGACACTAAATCATGGAGCGAAAGTGCTTCCTTATATAGATTGGTCTTCAGAATCAGGTTTCTAATTAAGGTATCGATTCATTTAAATTTGGAAAAAGTTTTCAGAAGTCTTTCCTATAGATTGCTGGTGTAATTGTTAGAGGAATCATAGAGAATAATGGAAATAATAAAGAATCACAATTAATAAGTTCGTATAATTATTTTTCATCGGTGCAAATTAAAATTTTGATCTAGCATTGTGTACATACTTTATTTTTTAAAATCAATTAATAATTTTTTTTAAAATTAGAATGGCGGGCACCAACGAGCTAAAGTTATAAGCAGAATGGAATCTGCCATCTCCCACTTATAGAAGAGTTTTCAAATTTGAGGCTTGTTTTATACTTTAAGAATATCATTTAACAATATTATATTTTTAATCATGTATTGGTCATCTTAAATAAAAAAACCATAATTTTAAAAAATTAATTTCAAATAATAAAAAATTAAAGTGTAAACAAATAATACTAAATTTTAATTTCAAAACTCAAAAACTCGTACTCTCTCTCTCTCTCTACTCTTTTGTTAATAAATCAAATTCCTAGCGGTGTTCCCACAAATAAATTTTGCAATTTTGCCTATAATCCTTAATAATAAATTTTGCCTATAGCCTATAGTTTACACTTATATAAGCTACAAGCTGTGTTCAGCCATAATTTAGGCTTGCTACTTCTGGTCCCATTTTCTATTATTATACTACCTCTTGTACTAAATATAAGAGCTATTTCGTAGTGTTAAATATAATATCTCAATCCACTTTGTCTCTCAAATTTGTAATGTGTTCTTGAAAACATCCCTATTGATTGTAAGGTATTTCTACCAACTGTAGTTCCAATGTACATAATTAAATAAGGGTAATTTAAGGAAATCAACACACATTCGTTACAAATAACTAACTTAACTAATTTTTTTTAATCTCCTCAAATTAGTTATCTAACTCTTATATTAAGGACTTGAGGTAGTATGTTACATATTTCTTTTGTCTCGTGTGTCTCGCGTTTCTCATGGGATCGATAAGAACCAAATGATAAATGAATTGCTATTAGAGACTTCAAATTGGCATGACTTTAAACAAGGAAAAGCAATTCATCACAAGAAGAGATCTTACTTATATTATAAAGGGATTTTATTAATGTCATGTAAGAGGTCTGACACAAAGTTTAAAATATGTAGATTTCCAAAACCATGTTCAAGAGATTTTACATAGTTTTAAAGAGGACCTGCCTAGATTGTACAGGTGGTAAAATTCCCTTTGCTATTATTGAGTTAGGTGAAAGAAACTTGACACCACTTTTTATACAAATTTAAAATCTTTACTTACAACAAATATTGTTGCGTTAGACAAATTCCTGGTGGTGGCATAACTATAGAAGCATATTTTTGTGAACGTGCAAAGTATCACGGCCCCACATTCTGGTTCAGACTAATTAAGTAGTTAAATACTATGCGCGGTATAAGACCTAACTGACTGATTTGAAAAAGTTAATGAAGTCACTAAATTACTTAATTATAGTATATGTTATATGACCTCTCTAAAATACTTCCATATATTATTATATTATTTACCAAGTTATAAGTTAAACAGATTAGTTGAGAGAAAACAATAAACATAAATACTTTAAAGTAATTTATTAGTTTCCTTAATTTTTTTAAATTAATTAATTGGGTCTTATATTAAATACCGGAGGTAGTATTAGCCCAGTGGAGCAAATTTAAGTGAACATAGATGTGACCAACGTATAATGATAAGAAACAAGATAACTAATTGACAGATAAAAGTATCACCATTATAATTTTTTTTCTTTTAAAAGTAAAAGTTTAGGTGTATTATAGAACGAAGTACCAATATGAAATTTCATACGCTTGGAGTTTTGCTTTTTATTATTGGTTCATAATAAATCTAAGAAACGGCAAACAAGGTCATAGAACTGATGCTTTTATTACATATAACACACATACATTATATAACACACAAATATTATAAGAGTACACAACAGCACAACACTAGAACACATAGGGTTACAAGGTTTTACATAGTGATGCTTTTATTTATAAGTCGTAAACCAAATTAAAGAGACTAGCCTAGCTTGCTTAGTAAGCAGCGTTGAGCTTGTTGTTTCTTGGAACCCATGAAATGGTTCCTGAGCCCAAGAAATGGCAAACTGGCACTGTTCCTGGCTTGACCTTGAGTTGACGAAACAACTTATGGGGTTCCACAGCTCTTGTATCACGGTGGCAAATAGCCACAATGCTTGTTCTTGTGCCATCAGTGGTTTTCATGGGAACTATGCAAGTAATTGTTGCATTCACTTGATGACAGTAAAACGTAGGCTTGTCGAAATTCAACTTGTGACACATCACTTCTTAACTAGAAACCTTCTGTACGCCCGCCAATATTGAGTAATGAGTTTGATGAGGCACAAAGGAGCTTGTGAGTGCTTCAATGTCCTTTCCCAACTTTGAAATGACGAAATCAAGTAATGATTCTACAGACTCTGCACAAAACTTGTCATGTTCTCCAAGAAACCTTTCCTCATTGCAAGCTGCTTCCAAGCTTAAATTCTGAGGCTTTGCCATTGTGTTTCTTGACTTCTCAATGTCCTTTTTGTTTCTTATCCATATATAAATTCCCTAAGGTTGAGTAGGGCTTGACTTCTGTGTGTCATCATCCATTGTGTTTTTCCTTTTCCACGAACCGACACCCCAAGGTTGAGAAGATGAAGACTTCTGTGAATCCTCCCTATCATTTCTTGTATTAGCGTAAGAGGGTTTGAATTTTTTGTTCATTTGTTTGCCAGCATATGAAGGTCGTCTTCAAAGAAGCTGGTATAGGGATATTGGGTATCTTTATTTTCTCCGTCGTCCATTCCTTTCATTTCACGCATCCCCAAATGAGTCTTCGGTTTATTAAAGATATCATAAAAACATAAGAAAAAATGAGTGCATTACAAATAGTGGGAAAAGATACTGAATCATCAAGGTACGATCATTTTTTGACATTAACGTGTATATATATTCATAAATATTATAGGGAATAAGAGTTGGGTAGGAAAGGTGGGTAGATATACGGTATTTAAATCTTTTTAATCCTTAAAAAAAGCAAAATTAATTCGTCAATCCTTATAATTCACGGTATTTTTAATCAAGCGTTGTAGTTTCTCTATTAGGTACTTACAGTTCCCTCAATTATAGGCGTTAGCCCCTATGCTCATAATTTGTTGATTGGGGCTTATGTTGATATTGATCAACGGCTTATTTGGTATGAGAGGGGAGGAGAGAATGGAGGGTAGAAGGCATTTTGCTCTCCTCTTCTTATTTGGATTGCAAAAAATTTTGGGAGATGAGGAAATTTTTTTTAAAGATTTCCCTCATCTCCCCTTATAACCCTCCCCTCCCAAATTGGGAGATTTGGAAGGAAAGGATAATATTTTAGCTTACTCAAACTAATATGCCTATAATTAGTTTTTAATATCTTTATATTACCTTTCTTATCTTACATCACATGGAAAAGAGATGATGATTGTTGCCCTCTTATAAAATCACATATCAGATCATAAAAAATTTCTCCCTTTCTCTCTCCCTTTAACAATCCAAACAAGGTAATATTAAAATTCTTCTCCTCCCTTTTCTTCCCTTTCTTTTCATGAAAATCCCCCCGGGCTGAACATGCCCTATGTGACATGTAAATACATTATTATTGTCATAACCATCTCCTTACAATATCTAGATCAGTACCTATAATTGAGAAAACTACAAGGATCCAATTAAAAAAAAAAAAAAAGAAAAGGAACCCAACAAAAAAGAAAAACTAAAAAATTAAAAATAAGGTGTAATCATAAGTACTTCGATATCAATCTTATAAAAAAAATTCTTTCTATTGAAGAATTAACACAAAATAATCAAAGAGGTTTGCCCCAATTAATTTTTTCGTCCGAAACGTCTTGGATGCAAAGAACTTGTGGAGGCCGTTGCCAAAATTTTAAGAGGAAACAAAATTAAAGTTTCTATCATAATTTATCTCTTGGAAAACTAATTTAGATGTCTTATAGTTTGCCCCAATTTTGAATCAGGTCCCTACATTTTTTTTCCTTCTTTATTGGATCCTTTAACTTTATATTAGTTAGATTTGTTAGACCCTGCACTTAGATAAACACTAACGGTGTTAAAAACTATCGTTACCTATCTCCTTCCCCTGTAAACCCAAAAAGTTTCAGAGCAAAACTCTCCTTCCTGATTTGTTGTTCGTTCTTTGTTCATTGCTCAATATCTTCATTCATTCCTCCTTTGTTCTACTATTGAAGCAATTACGGTGATTATGGCTGCATCTAACCGCCGGTGGCTACTTCTTGTTTTTCTCATTGAAATTCTGCACCATTTTCAGCAAGCAAAGTGAACTTAGCTCGAACTCCGATCATCCTCCATTTCTGTTGGACAAGTATTCATTGGTGGCGATGAGTTTCTCCAATGAGAAATTCCTCAACACACTCAGAGATTGCTACCCTCTTCGCACTAACTCATCACTTAGTGATTTGGTGGTGCGAGGAGCAGGTTTATTCCGTGGTAAAGCAAAACGAGACTAATAAAGATGAACAAAGATGGATTTGTGAATGAGAAATCAAAGTCGCCCATGTGAAGCGAGCTTTTTTCAGCTACACTAATGGGTTACGGATAGGTATAGTACATGGAACACTCACCCAATCAGTGCTCTACTGGTGAGTGAATAGGATTTTCCTTTCATGCACGAGCACCTACCCCCAGCTTAGTCTAAAAAAGTAACCTAATCTAACTCTTGAAAGAGCTAGCATAACAGCCAATCTCTCTCTTATTCGGGAATTGCTTCAGATGAGTCTAAGGCTTGCTCACCCACTAAAGCCAGGAGCGAAAGAAACAGCTTTGATAAAGCCAAGCACTATACCTCCGGACTAGGGATAACATAAAA